GGTCTCATCTGGTCAGGTCTTAGTCAAGGTCCCGTCTGGTCAGGTCTGAGTCCAGGTCTCAGGTCTAAGTCCAGGTCTCAGGTCTGAGTCCAGGTCTCATCTGGTCAGGTCTGAGTCCAGGACTCATCTGGTCAGGACTGGGTCTAGGTCTTATCTGGTAAGGTTTGAGTCCAGGCCTCGTCTGGTCAGGTCTGAGTCCAGGTCTCAGGTCTAAATCCAGGTCTCAGGTCTGAGTCCAGGTCACATCTGGTCAGGTTTGAGTATAGGTCTCATCTTCAGGTCTGACTCCAGGTCTCAGGTCTGAGTCCAGGTCTCATCTGGTCAGGTCTTATTCCAGGTCTCAGGTCCAAGTCCAGGTCTCAGGTCTGAGTCCAGGTCACATCTGGTCAGGTTTGAGTATAGGTCTCATCTTCAGGTCTGACTCCAGGTCTCAGGTCTGAGTCCAGGTCTCATCTGTTCAGGTCTGAGTCCAGGTCTCAGGTCCAAGTCAAGGTCTCTGGTCTGAGTCCAGGTCACATCTGGTCAGGTTTGAGTATAGGTCTCATCTTCAGGTCTGACTCCAGGTCTCAGGTCTGAGTCCAGGTCTCATCTGGTCAGGTCTTATTCCAGGTCTCAGGTCCGAGTCCAGGTCTCAGGTCTGAGTCCAGGTCACATCTGGTCGGGTTTGAGTTCAGGTCTCATCTAGTTAGGTCTGAGTCTAGGTCTCATCTGGTCAGGTCTTATTCCAGGTCTCAGGTCCGAGTCCAGGTCTCAGGTCTAAGTCCAGGTCACATCTGGTCAGGTCCGAGTCCAGGTCTCAACTAGTTTGGTCTGAGTCTAGGTGTCATCTGGTCAGGTCTGAGTACAGGTCTCATCTGGTAAGGTCTGAGTACAGGTCTCAGGTCTGAGTCCAGGTCACATCTGGTCAGGTTTGAGTTCAGCTCTCAACTAGTTTGGTCTGAGTCTAGGTGTCATCTGGTCAGGTCTGAGTACAGGTCTCATCTGGTAAGGTCTGAGTCTAGGTCTCATCTGGTCAGGTCTGAATCCAGGTCTCAGGTCTGAGT